AAACGTCGCATGCTCGAATCTTTCCGAAGCGCCATGCTTTCGCATACTCATATCTTCAGTGCGGATTTCCCATCGTCCCAAGCGGAACTAAATACCAGGGGATAGATTTCGCAAGCGGAGATGACCAGACTTTGGGTAAATGGTGGTTGCGGATAAGAGCGGAGGATTATCTGGAACGAGGTGGCGGCGCGTCCGGATTCTACTGGAAGCTAAGGTCGTACTTGCGGGCCCAGCATGTTGAAGACGCGGAATGGGAGTATGCCTACCTGGTGACGGCACCGCGCTTCTTGGGCTACGCATTCAATCCGGTTTCGTTCTGGTATATCTACGATCGCGAACATCAGCTTGTGAAGATGATACTCGAAGTCAACAACACATTTGGAGAAAGACGCATGTACCTGCTTGACGGATCGACCCCTGCCAGTCCGCCGCGCACATCTGATTCTGAACAAACGTCTGGATCCGAGGAACACGGATCGCAGATACCTGTTCGGGCGAAGTCGAAGTTTACCGATGTATGGATGAAAGATTTCCATGTTTCACCGTTCAACTCTCGAAAGGGTTCGTATGCGCTGAAGGCCCAAAACCCATTCCCTTCTGTGGATTACGAGAACCCTCTGATCGACAACACGATTACCCTGAAATCTTCCAAGAACCATGGGAAGCTTGTAGCTCGCCTCTTCTCTACCGGAAAGGCTATTGACCTGGACCAATTGGGTTTCCTCGGAACTCTGCGGTTCATCCTGAGCTGGTGGTGGGTAGGCTTTGTAACGTTCCCACGCATCGTCAGAGAAGCCGGCAAGATATTTTTTAAGAGGAAATTGCACGTGTGGTTTCGGCCGGAGGTGCTAACGTCGAGCGTTGGTCGGCCTCCCACTTCCGCTGAGATGTAAGTACGCATGAAGCACTACGTGAATACAACTAACAATCCCAGAACACTCTACAAAGTTTTCAGAAACTACCTACACGTACTCGTAAACCAAACCGAAGTAGACTTTTGCATCACGTTCAAAGCGTCGATTCCCAACATCCCCACCGACAAGATCGCCACGACACATGTCCCTGGTCGAAATCGACCGTACAAGAACATTGAGATCCGTGTGCTTACACCAGCGTTCTACTCGCGACTCATCCACTACACCTACATATCCGAGGCTATCGATCGCGAATGCATCTTCACCGACGAACGGAACAGGACACTATGGTTGTGCCGTCCCCAGCTCCTACCTCTGCTGCTCTCAGAACGCTCATCGATACGCCTCAAAGACGAGGACACGCCACCAGTCAGAAGAAGCTATCTCGACGAGCTGAGATGGTGGTTGCTCAAGAGGTTGAGGTGCCCACCCGCCGACCCTGCGTACTCAGTCACGCCGCAAAATCCCGCGGTCAATGTAGATGATATCCGCGCCAGGCCATTCTCTGAGCTGGATAGATATGTCCGGGGTTACTTCGGGCATCAGTACGCTTGCGAGTACCGCAGGACCGTTACCAAGCTTTTCTTGGCACAGCGCTTCTGTTTTGGGTTTACAGAGATAGTCGGGCTGGTGGATCTGATTATCAGGGTCTTGCTGTGTTATGTTGCTGCTCGGCAGCTGATGAGTTGGGGTGCGTCAGCGCCGGGATTGATGTCAGCTGAATGCCTAGAAGGTTTGGTGATGAAAAGGGATTGGTCGGCATGCTCCAATGCGCTTGCGATGGATTACTGGGGTTGGTGGTCGTTGGGGAAGAGCATGTTAGCGGTGTACTCGTGTCACATGTATGAATCCTTGAAGGGTTACAGATGAAACGTAGATTACTCTCCTCTTAACTACAATTCAACTCGTTAACATACTTCCCGAACAGCGGTGATGCACATGGCGGTAAATCGCCCAGCCACGAGCATTTGTCGGGATCGTCACTTGCTGCCGAGCGAGCCTTATCCGAGATATTCCAGACGCAACAATGACACCACTCACGTGTTTTCCGAGACAAAAGCGCCCTAAACAGCGAAGATGCCTGCTCGTGAAAGTCGCAGATCAATAGCGGTTCAGGCCTTTTCCGGACAGGATCAACCGAGGTAAAACCCGCGCGACGCTAACGGACACGCGACCCCAGATTTTGGCGTGCGTCTTCACATGCACCAGAAAACCAGCTAAGCAGAGCGACGGAACATCGACATGTGAAGCTGCAGCATAGTGTCGCGTGTCATGCCGAACAGCATCTTCAGTGCATCGAGATGGGAACTGTGATATAGGAGTAGGATGATAACGAAGGATGCAGCTCTGTCTGCAACGAGTTGACCCAAGACCATTGGCAAACGTCATCCCCGTCACGGTTCCGCTGGTCCCCCATCCCCACCCCGATCTACACTGGTCAGCGTTCCAAAACGTCAATTCCCCTTGGGCCGAGGGCAACGCAAAACAACGCTCGAGCAAGTGCCATGGCCAGCGCTAGACGTTGCTGCCAGCTTCCGAGGATGCAGCAGTCGGGCCAATGGTGCGTCCAGCCGGTCGTCCCCGAGCTCACTTGGAGTGCTGTGCTAGCCGTGCTGGTGTGAGTATGCTGATGGCTATGGTTATAAGACGCTTGGCTTTCCCCCCAAGGTTCCTGGCTGCGTAGACCGAGGCTAGAGTAAGTGTGGTGTCATTGCTGGTCATCTTTATCAAAGGACGAGCTTTCCCTCTTGTTTTTGTTCATATTTCTTCATACACACATCCGTCGTATCGAAAGAACCTAGCTTCTCTGTTGTCATTACATATTTTAGACATCACTCATCATGGCGAACATTGACGCCGAGGACGCGCAGTTCCAGAAGGAAGTTCAGGAAGTTAAGCAGTGGTGGACGGACTCAAGATGGAGGTATACCAGGAGGCCGTTTACTGCTGAGGATATCGTTTCGAAGAGAGGTAATCTCAAGATCACCTACCCGAGCAATCACCAGTCGAAGAAGCTTTGGGAGATTGTGGAAGGACGCTTCAAGGTATGATAGTCATGCTAAACGTCAAGCTTCAAGTTAACAATGTGTAGAACAACGATGTCAGCTACACATACGGATGCCTTGACCCTGTGATGGTCACACAGATGGCGAAGTATCTAGACACTGTTTACGTTTCTGGATGGCAAGCATCGTCAACAGCTTCATCGACCGACGAGCCAGGGCCTGATCTAGCAGACTACCCCTACGTAAGTCACAGAACTGAACGGTGATGGGGAACGAAAGCTAACGAACAAAAGACAACCGTCCCCAACAAAGTTGGCCACCTATTCATGGCGCAGCTTTTCCACGACCGAAAGCAACGCGAAGAACGCTTGACCACCGCGAAAGCCGACCGTGCGAAAGTCGCCAGCGTAGATTACCTACGACCGATTATCGCGGATGCCGATACTGGACATGGAGGTTTGACCGCTATCATGAAGCTCACAAAGCTGTTCATTGAGAAGGGTGCCGCGGGTATACATATCGAGGACCAAGCGCCAGGAACAAAGAAGTGCGGGCATATGGCTGGAAAGGTGTTGGTTCCGATTAGCGAGCATATCAACCGTCTGGTCGCTATCAGGGCGCAGGCAGATATTATGGGTAAGATGATGAACTCCAGCCATCAGATTTGGCATGGGCTAACGATGGGATGACAGGAACCGACCTACTTGCCGTCGCCAGAACCGACTCAGAAGCTGCTACCCTGATCACTTCTACCATTGACCCACGCGACCACCACTACATTCTAGGCTGCACAAACCCTGCCCTTCAGCCTCTGGGCGAGCTGATGTACGCCGCCGAACAAGCCGGCAAGACAGGCGCGGAGCTCCAAGCCATCGAAGATGCATGGACGAAGGAGGCCAACCTCAAGCTATACCACGAGGCCGTCATCGACACAATAAACGCCGGTGTACATGTCGACAAGCAAAGCATGATCAACGACTTCATGGAGAAGAGCAAGGGCAAGAGCAACTCGGAAGCACGCGCCATCGCCGCAGGCCTGACCGGCGTTGATGTGTACTTCAACTGGGACGCCGCAAGGACGCGCGAGGGCTACTACAGGTACCAAGGCGGTTGCCAAACCGCCATCAACCGCGCCATCGCATACGCGCCCTACTGCGACATGATATGGATGGAGTCAAAGCTGCCCGACTTCGCCCAAGCAAAAGAGTTCGCTGATGGCGTGCATGCCGTGTGGCCTGAGCAGAAGTACGTCTTCTTCCACCCACTTCTCCCTCACACACACGCACTAACAACACCACAGACTAGCATACAACCTCTCTCCCTCCTTCAACTGGAAAGCCGCCATGCCACGCGACGAGCAGGAAACCTACATCCAGCGCCTGGCCAAGCTGGGTTACTGCTGGCAGTTCATCACGCTCGCTGGTCTGCACCAGAGCGCGCTCATGGCCGATACGTTCTCCAAGGCGTATGCGAAGCAGGGTATGCGTGCGTACGGCGAGATTATCCAGGAGCCCGAAGCGGAGAACAAGGTCGATGTGCTTACGCATCAGAAGTGGAGTGGCGCAAATTATGTGGATAATTTGCTGAAGATGGTGTCGGGTGGTGTTAGTTCTACGGCGGCTATGGGGAAGGGTGTTACGGAGGATCAGTTTAAGTGAAGGGGTGTTGTGGGGGGTCATGATAATGAAGCTTTTATGGGTCAGGTCTCTGGTTTACCACCACCTTGGTGACTTCAAAGACTTACCGCCATGGACATAGTTATCACCGCGCCAGTGAATAAACGTATGTTTATTTGAACTCTCATCACCTGATGAACGGTTGTATTCTTTGAACCTTCAAAATTCATTCTTCACAGTCCCAACGTCAAAGCCTTTCGCTCAATGAACCAACAAGCTCACTGTTTCACTCGACATTGAGCACTGTTAAGGATCCATCGCCCTCCGGGTTAATTATACTTTGGATCTGCAACAAATTTATCCAAAGTTATGCAAAAAAGGCACTTTATCTGGTTCCACTTCTCCGCCCCAGACCTGTGTCCACCAAGCAGCAGTTGAGAACCTAGACTTGACTCTACTACACCATGTCAGCCCAGAAAGACATTGCGGAATCGGCAGAAGCTCCCGCAAACCCCACAACCTCATCGTTTAGGAAAGAACGCAGCGACATGGCTCAACGTATCAAAGACGACAGGGAAAAACAATGTCAATCATACGGTCCACAAGTCTTCGAAGATGCTAGGGCTTTCGAAGCTTCCCTGGACAACGGAAGAATCTTCACCCGCGCGTTCTTCGAAAAAGCAGCAGAGCAAGTCGAGATAGTTCGTAAAGGCGATCCGAACATGCCGTTCATGTTTGTACCACGTGTACTAGGTAGTGGACAAGTGGAGAAGCGTGTCCCACCGTATGCCTCACCCGCGGTCAGCCTGAGTTTCAGCGGGATCTTCATTGGTGCCTCTGACCCGATGCGTCCAGCGTATCACATCAGGACTCCCCACCACCAGGATACCAAGTACGAATTCAGTGATACCAGGGCGCTGAAGCCCGATAGCCTTCAGAGTACACATGAGCAGGCGAGCCAGCGTTGCTCTACATCCGAGGAGTACAACGGAATCCCGAAAGTCCTCGAGACAAGTCTGCTACAAAGTAGGTTCTGGGCCAGTGTACGAGAGCAGCTCGACGCTCTCACCGTACCAGTCGACAACATTGTTTGCGTAGCCCTCGGAACCATGCACGGAACAGAGGAGGAAGGCAGAAAAGAAGATACTCCAGCTACACAGCACGTGCTCGCCTGCGCCATCTCGACCTACTTATCGCAGCGGTATGCCACGACTTCCGCGACTTCCACACCAAGCCTAATCCCAATAGTAGCTCGCGACCCGGCCTATAAACGCGAAGATATGGTCATGCTTTCTCAGTGCAACCCTCCCATTACGGTGGTATCAGAGCCATACCAATACCTCTCTATCACGCCCTCTACGCTCTTACTAAGCCTCTACCAGCCCGCTTTTCTACCGGTCTTCCAGGTCGCTGCGGACATGTGTTTTCCGATAAGTCCCGCGGCAATCATCACCGCAGAGATACTGAGCCATCCGTGGCATAAAGAGGGGAAGATCATGGCGCTCGATACTTGGACACCGCGAGTTGGACGGATGCTGGAGTGTATGAATGCGACGTGGCTGGGTCGGGAGTTTGCGGACGATTGTTTGTCGCCGGATGACGAGGGTAGGTTCGAAAATGCCGGCGACCTCATTGATGATTGGGGAAAGAATTTGACGTTTTATGCGCGGAAAGAGTAGGCTTTTCGTTGCTGTGTCGGCGTTCCTCTTGGATCTCTGCTCTTGGATTTCATCCTTTCCCCTGGTTGTAGCGAAGCTTGTAGTAGATCTCTCTTGTTTCGACGCTGTTTGTCTTGATGTGCGTCACAGATACACATGACCTGTAATGTGGACGCGTACTCATAATTTCAATGTCAAACAACCAATCGAAGAGCTCAGAGTTGTCCGCATAGTGAGGTGAGGATCATCGTCGTTGGCCCCGGGAGCTGCTATCAAATGCTTGTCGAGGTTCTCAGCCAACCATGATATGGCCGGGAGCTGCCCAATGGGCCATGGTGTCGCCAAGAGGAGGACAACATGGTGCTCTGAGATATATATGCCATCGGTTCCCTCTTCATCTCCTGCATCTCTTTCATATGCGCCGATTGTTTGCGACAGATCTTTTGCTGTTTTCTTTTTGCTCCGAGATGATTGCTCTTGCAGAGCCCTGAGCTGGTCTCGTTATCTCTTCAGTTATCGGCTGCTCCGTGCGCCAGGCACAAGCTCCCCGTTTTCCAGGGACCTCGGCGCCGCATGCCGTGCTATCGGCCATCAAACTCGACACCCGGTCACACAAAATGACCTGCCCAGATCGCACGAAGCGGGGTTCCTGGAGGAAGAAGCGACGATGACAAACCTCACGAGGGCTTTTGAGTGTTCCGCGATACACCATGGATCCTAGACGGCCACAGAACGGGTCTCATGCGGGTCCCGCAGCCGGACATGGCCACCTTCCTAAAGAGCTTCCATCCGGCTTTCTTGGCGAGCGTGATCTTGCCTCCGCCGGCATCCACCCGCATGAGTTCTCTCTCTAATTGCGCTGCGGAAACCTCGCAATTGAGCGCCACTATCAGGCGTGCCCAGACGCCGCCTAGGACTCGACCGGAATGAAGCAGGCATTGGCGCGGCTTGTCTTTACCAGCTGCTGGATCAAGCATGAAGAGTGGAGAAGCCATGGGCGAATGATAGGAGCTTGTTCATATTGAGCTGCTTGGCAGACAGGGCGTTGATTGCGAGTGCACGCGATAGCTGCAGAATCAGTTGACGGAACAGGTCCACGGAATCTGTGCATGGCGACGCATGCACGACCTGACGATCGCTGCAACAGAGATCTATAAAGGGCACGTTCCGCGCTCCAGAGAGAAGACACGCCGCAGCTTGCTTCTACCATCTCAAACACTCGAGATAGAGCAGATTTGTCAATATGAGGGTTACTCTCGGTCTCGCTGCGCTCGCCGTTGGTGCTGCAGCCGTCCCTACGGCGGAAATCAGGCAACGCCAGGATGGTCACAACGCCAAGCCATGCCCCAAGAAGCCTCTGGTCACGAAGGTATGGAAATCCAACCCCCAAGAATCGCGTTGAAACTATGCTAACGATCGTTGTAGGAGGCTCTTCAGAAGGACATCACCATCAAGAAGTTGATGAGGGGCGCTCAGCAGCTTGAGGACTTTGCCTACAGCTACCCAGCCCGTAACAGGATCATGGGAGGAGAGGCTCACAACGACACCGTCAAGTGGCTGAAGAAGGAGCTCGAGTCTACTTCATACTACGATGTTACGCTCCAGCCTTTCTCCAACTACGTCATGCTGAACGGCACTCTCAACAAGTTCACCATCGACGGACGTATGATCAACTCCACGATTCTTGAATACTCAGCCTCTACCGATGGGCTCGTCACCGCACCCATCGTTCCCGTCAACAACCTCGGTTGCGAGGCGTCTGACTTTCCCGCGGAAGTGTCCGGCAGCATTGCACTCATCTCGCGCGGAGAATGTGAGTTCGGACTGAAGTCTGCTCTTGCTGGAAGCGCTGGTGCCGTGGGTGCTATCATCTACAATAACGTTGCTGGCACCATCAGCGCAACCCTAGGCCCCCCTCCCCGCCCAGAGGGTGACTACGTCGCGAGTGTTACTCTGTCTCAGGCAGAGGGTCAGGCAATCATTTCCAAGGTCGCAGGCGGTGCTACTGTCACCGGCGAATTGGACGTTTTGACCGACGTCCAAATCATCACCACCAACAACGTTCTTGCTACCAGCAAGTGTGGTGACAAGGACAACCAGCTTTGGCTCGGTGCTCACACTGACTCTGTCGGTGCTGGTCCTGGAATCAACGACGATGGCTCTGGAACTGTTGCCATCCTGAACGTCGCCAAGTCGCTTGCTAAGTACAACGTCAAGAACGCTGTTAGCTTCGGCTTCTGGTCTGGCGAGGAGTCCGGTCTTCTCGGCTCCACTTTCTTCGTCGAGAGTTTGTCTCCCGCGGCAGCTCTTGACATCCGCGCATACCTCAACTTCGACATGATTGCGTCTCCCAACTACGTCCACCAGATCTACGACGGTGACGGCAGCGCATACGGTCTGAGCGGACCCGCTGGAAGCGACCAGATTGAGACTTTCTTCGAGGGATACTTCAAGGATCTCAACATCTCCAGCAACGCTACCGAGTTTAACGGCCGTTCCGACTACGGTCCTTTCCTTGATGCCAACATCCCCGCAGGTGGTACCACCACTGGTGCTGATGAGGTCAAGACCGTCGAGGAGCAGGCTATCTGGGGTGGCGTTGCAGGAGAGATCCTTGACCAGAACTACCACCAGGCCGCCGACAACGTCACCAACCTCAACGAGGGAGCTTGGCTCCTACACTCTCGCGGTATTGCTGCTGCGGTTGCCAACTATGCTACTTCATGGGAGGGTTTCCCAGCCCGTGTGCCCGTCAACGGCACCGCGAAGAGGAGCGTCCGTGAGCCTCACGTTCACAGGGGCGTCAAGGGCGCAAAGGTCATTTTGAGCCTGTTGTAAGCTCGCGGTAACGCAGCTTTGTATATAGTCAACAATGATAATGTCAACGACAACACGAATAACACACTTCAATTACGGATCTATTTTGTCTTGATACAGGTGTAGCTGGTCAAGCTTTGATGGGATTAAATTTCACCCGAAAAAAACGGAACATAGACGTCAGCTTTGTAGTGTCGTCTTACTTGCGCTGAGCCTCATCCTCATGTCAGCCGCCGAACCTGCACAGCCCCTACAGCCATGTCAATCGGCTAAGCGGCTCGCGAAAGCTGCTAACCGCGACACCGCCGCTGAGCCGCACGCGTGTGGAATTGAGGCTTATTGCGATCAGCTGAAGTGCAGATAATGGGAGCCTACTTTGGTTTAGACGTATATGTATCGCGTCTGGGACGCGTTCGTGTGGGTTGTTGATTCTTGGGCCTTGACTGTCAACAACGATTTCCAAACACCTTCATATCTACCAGCGCGACGATACCAATCTGTGGACTAACAGAAGCTTTCACTGCTGTGCAGACTCCCGATCATTCAAGAGTCTGAGGTAATCGCCGTCCCGCGCGTGTTTCGGGCGTCAACGACGTGACAAAACAAAGGGTTGCCTGAACGAGGCTGTGCCCACCGCGCGACGCTTTTGATCACCGCGCCTCCAGGGCATATACACACATCACGCCGCAATTCTCTGGTCCTTTGGTTCCTCCAGCATTTTCGCGACTTTAAAGACATCAGAACCCCTCCATTGAATAAACCAGAGAATCAAGAAAAACAGGAGTGGATAGAAATCATGGACCACAACAGCCCATGCTACGAGCCCTTCCCAGCCCTAGATTCCGCCCCCACAACCCCACAACACGACCACGATGCGCCTATACCGTCAACCTCAGATATCGCCACATCAACATCACCATCAACATCAACATCAGAGCCCTTCTCAGTCCACTACGAAGGCCCGCTCTACACAGAAATAAACATCCCACTCCCCCGCATCACAGCACCACGCATCACATCTCCATCCACACCAACCCACCCATCACTACCGACCAACCCCTCCGTCTCCTCACCACCAGAAAAACAACGTCGACGTTCCCGAACCCTATCCTCACTATCCCCCTTCCGCCACCGCAGCTCCTCATCCGCATCTACATCTGCGTCTGTAACCTCGCCCACCTCACCCACCTCACCCACATCCCCCTTCTCCAAAACCAGCGACCGGAACAGCGAAGACTGGCCGCGCATCCGCAAAGAAGTAGTCAAGTCGCGAGAAGTAAATGCGATGATGAACCTGCGACATCACAGCAAGAGGGGGCGGAGCGGCACGATCGATGCGTTGGCGGTTGTGCCTGCTGTTTTGGTGTTGAGTGCGGAATTGTTTACGCCGGGGGGTGAGGAGGGGGGAGTGGGGGAGGGGAGGAGGAAGGATAGTGGGGTGGGGAGGTGGGAGGAGGGTATAAGATGAGGGTGTTGGAGAGGATAGGGATGGGATATGTATTTGTATGGTAGTGCTTTAGCACTCGTGGTATAGGGTCACCTCATACAAGAAAAAAACTAAACAGGTCTAAAGCCTACATTAACGCTAAGTTACATATCTTGTAGGGTTTTAAGTTAATGTAGGCTGCAGGCCTGTTTAGTTTTTTTCTTAGTTGGCGTGGGGTGGATAGGGGATACAGAGGCTGAGGACCAGGGATAATGAATTAGACTACGATTTAGAGGGCTTGGTATAGATAGGGAAGGCTGATGTGCTTCAGCATTATAATAGGTGATGAGCAGAGGAAGAACTGCCCTCAACGATCCGGAGAGTGTGTTAGTGAAGAGGGCTTCGTAGCCCAATGTACCATAGATGAACGACTACATCAAAACATAGTCACAGCAGCATCCTACAAGTGAAATGGAACAAGACACAACATTCTATTTTGGACCCGGCCATAAAACACACAGAGTCATATCAATACTCGAGTTTTATGAAGAACAGCATCCCCAACGCCAGTCCATGCACGTATGCTCATAATGCAGGTACAGGTATTTGATATACTGCTCCTCAGCAGTCTATAAACATAAAAGCACGATAAAAACACCCCTCATGTCCATATTCCCAATGAGCCCAGTCGACGGAAAGTGTGATCTTTGACAAATCATCAACTCCATCAAACCAGTTTTTTCTACTTTTCGCATGTATCTTCCATGGCAGAATCCGA